CCCCCCCCCCACTGGTCTCTAATACTAGGCAGGGGATGTTGCAGTAAAGGGTTGTGGAAACCCCTTTAGGGTGACCCTAAAATTGCATTTTGGAAAAGGGCTTTGTGGTCTAGGAAGAAATCTGTCTCTTCTGACCATACGTGATATGACTAATACTTTGGGGCTCTAATAATGACCATTTGGAACAACTGAGATGTCTCAATTCAGTATCATGGGTGCAGAATAAAACTAAATTTATCCATACTCGATTGATGTAGAGACCCTACTGAGGCTGTTCACGTGCTAGACAAGTGGTTAGAAACGTTATCAAAACAACCCTGTAAGGTAGGTTGGGCTGAGAGATAACAAGAGCTTAGAAGCAGCTACAGAACATTTGATGAACCCCAATTCCCCCCCCCCCGACATTATTCTTGCTGGCGATTACATGCTGCCTGAAGTCATCACAGCAAAGTAGTCACAAAGGTGGCCCATCTCTGGCTTTTTAAAAATGCAGTTACTATGGAAAAGGAAGAAAATCAAGACGTTTGCAGGTCTCTCCTGTGAATTACCAGCTGAAATGAAAATCTGAAGCTGGGTCACTAAATAGTAAATCAGATTTCTAAATTATAAATGTTTGTGCTTTGCAACCCTGAGTTGCAGACGAGTGCACTCTAATTAACACTCTGTCATGTCTCCTTACAGAAGAATGCAGGGCCCTGATAAATGGGACAGGAATTTGGAGGGTAGAAAATCTTGACTTTCTTTTTTTTAATGCATAAAATGACAAGGGGATTGCATCTTACTGATAAGGCTAATATTAGGGTTACTCTGCATTTCCATCACTGCCTCTAATAGGAAGTGCTGTGGTAGCCAATAGAATTGGAGTCAAAAGAGAGCCGCTCAGAAGCAAGAGGAGATGCGGGAGTTTTGCAGAAATACAAGCAAACCCCAAATAACCTATTAATGAGCAACAATCATGTTGCCCAACGTGCTTACCCCATGGTTAAGTGACCCATGGTTTATTCAGTTTGGCCTGTTTTCTGGGTTTTCATGATGCATTGAATCATAGGCAGATGACCTGGGCTGGGTTCACACATCACACTAGTCTCTCAGAGAAAATAGATAAATGCAATCATTCAATATGCTGTAGCAAGGATTTTCATCTTCTCCTTCACACAAGACTTAAAGTCTTTTGTTATTTCCATGTCATGAATATAATTCTTGGTGAATTTCTAGTCTCCAATAACTCCAGTATTGGTTCTCTTTCTTTTTATTCCCCTCCTGATTGGACCATATGGGATTTTTCTTCCTGCAGAAGACTGAAGACCAGCATATAGCAAAGTAACCACCTCTCCAATTTCTTAGGTCTCTCTCAGGGCGAATCGTTGGAGGCGTTTGGTGGTTCTTCACCCTCATCATCATCTCCTCCTACACTGCCAACCTTGCTGCATTCCTCACCGTAGAAAGGATGGTGTCCCCCATTGAAAGTGCTGAAGACTTGGCTAAGCAGACCGAGATAGCTTACGGGACTTTGGATTCCGGCTCAACCAAAGAATTTTTTAGAGTAAGTGTTTCTGTTTCATTCAAGAGGTTATGAAGTCCTGATTTGGGGAAAGAGCCTGGATGTCTATCAGGGTGAGGTGAACAAGTGTTGACAATCCCACCAGCATGGCCTATGGTGAGGGACTGTTGCTAATTCAGCAACATCTGGACAACCACACGTTCTCAATGCCGACTGACACTGAACATGTGGAGGCAGGAGGTGAATCTGTGCAATGCAACCTTTATATGCAGTGCAGCATTATTGAGTCATGTACTGAAATGGGTGGCTACATAAATTGATTTAATAAATAAATGACCATCTAGAGAGGGATTATGTATGTAGAGGAGGAACTGGAGCTCAGTGATGGATCATCTTTGCTGCCCATGTAGAGAGCCAACACAGAGGCTCCTGATGGACCAAAAGCTGGCCAATTGTTACGTAGCTTCCTATCTTCCCAGTTAAGATGTGAATGGTAGATTCCATTTAGTACATAAACTTTATGCTGAGTTTGTGGGCTAAGTCAACAACTAAAATGTTCATTTTTCCTTGCCTTCAATACATACTGATATGTCCCAGAAACTAAGTTCAAAAGAGATTTACCATATAGGGACAGTGGGATTTAATTTGTTTAGGCCTAATGTACCATATTTTAAACCTTTTATGCATCTGGGTTTGAGACAACAAGGGAATAAGGGCTTACTACTACCCTCTAGAGTCACTGTTTCTTTAATGAAGGAAAGGGATAGCATGGCATGTAATGTTTGTTTATTTATTTATATATCACATTTATATAATGTTGTAGGACTAAGCTGTTGGCAGCTTTAACTTATGGACAGCCTATGCCACACAGGATTCTCCTAGAGACTTCAAAATTTGCCTCTACAGTCTAGTGGGACTAGTCTAGAGGCTAATGGCTCTAGCTTGGTTGGACCTGACACTCCTCACACATCTATAGGACAGTTGGGATAAGCTGTGTAGGACAGGAATTGGACGAGAGCTTTCCCACTTTTGCCTCTCATAGCATCATCTCTGCTGGGAACAACTGTTTGAGTTTTTCATAGCCAGTTCATGCTACTAAAATTGGATGGGCAACTCCTACTGCTCCAGCCCATTTTTTTTGCAGTCCCCAGAATTTCTTTAGGGTTGACCTATGGAAAGAAAGCAAAATAAGTCCCAAGCACTCTCTTCAAAGGACAACAATGCTTCTCAATAAATCCCAGGGACAACACCATGTCACTGTCCTGCCCATTTCAGTTTTTGATTATCCAAAACATATTTTCAAGGTATGTCGCCCCCCCAACCGTGTAAAATCTGCCCTTCTTGATTCAAATAATGCAAAATATAGCAATCAGTGCATCTTCATCTTCAACCTGGTGTAATGATGACTGTCCAAATGCTTTATGTGACATGTTCCATCTGATATGGAGGAAAATCTACTAAAGCAAGTCCAATTCCAACATGCAAGGAGTATTCCTTTAGTAGCTAGTTGTCTTGGTCTTAATCAGCAAAGAGTTGCTTTCCAAGGTCCTTCAGCTATTTTCCAACTCTGATTTAAGAGGAAGGGAAGAAGGACAATTGCCAGCTGAGGAGATATCATGAATGAACATGTGCATGCATTTCTCTTCCAGAATCTAAATAGAAACCTCTCTTTGAGGAAGAAATGAAAGCAAAGGATTTTGTTTTGGTGACAAAAAAGACTTATATTTTAAACATATCTGCTCTCAGTTAAAGAGGTTAACCACTCTGATGCAGTTTTTCTTCAAGCAAGGAGAATCTGGAATTTGAAATGATCTGTAAAGTGAAATAGAGTGGAATCCAGCCTGGAGTTTGTGTTGGGAGAATTGAAATTAATTTACTCTGACAGCGGAGCTAAAATAAGTCTCGGGTGTCTGACAGCTCAGGTCAGGCCAAGACTGGGTGCTCCAAATTCCATTCCAGATGCATCAAGAATCTCCTGGGGATGGAGACTAAATATGTACTGGGTGTGTGCTCATGTGTGCGTGCAAGGGTTTATTTTCTAGTGCACTTGACTAAATGTAGGCAGAAAGCCAAGTTGTGATTTTTGTTATTACTATGCAAATTCTGTGGCCTCACACTGCCCGCCTATGCATATAGTCTTAAGAAGCATCATACCCAACTGTTGTTGACTTGTTTTGCACACCATACATGTAGTCCTCGACTTATGACCACAATAGGGACCAGAAAATTTGTCATTAAGCAGTGTGGTCGTTAAGTGAGGCATCATGTGTCCACACCCAATTTTACAACATTTTTTTGCAGCAGCCGTTAAGCAAATCACTGTGGTCATTAAGTGAATCACTTGGTTGTTAAGCGAATCACATGGTTGTTAAGTGCATCACATGGTTCCCCACTGATTTTACTTGTCGGAAGCCAGCTGGGAAGGTAAAAAATGGCGATCATGTGACTCTGGGACACTGCAACTGTTGTAAATACATGCAGGTTGCCAAGTGCCTGAATTTTGATCACATGACCACAGGGCCACTACAATGGTCATAAGTACAAGGACCAGTTGTAAGTAACTTTTTTCAGCACTGTCGTAACTTTGAACAGTCACTAAACAAATGATCGTAAGTTGAGGACTACCTGTATAGAGACATCTCTAGGAAGCTCATAAGCTGCAAATGCAGCCATCCTCTCCCACTGAGCTGCAAATGCCTCTCTCCCATAGCAACTCTGGACACACTGCCTCTGTACATGGGTACTGCTGGTATCGTTATCTGTGGCAAATTTGTTCAGCCCCTTTTTGAAACCAGCTTATATGGTGGCCTGCATCATATGTGGTAGCAATGAGTTCCAGAGATGAATTATGCACTTTAAAATTAATGCTTTCTTGGTGGTGCTAGCTTGCCCTGCCAGTCAGTTCAGATTACAAGTAAACTCTCAGTTTAATAGACTAATGAGGTGAAAAGAAATCTGTTAAAACAGAATGTGTGTTAAAACCGAATGGATTTTTGTTCATGTGTCAAATAGCAAATGAGACTTTACACATACATGTTTTATATATTTTATGCATGCTTAAAACGGAGAACAGAAATTTACACATCCAGAGAAGCATAAAGTATACAGATTTTTTTTTCCTGTTGCATCCAATGTCCACTAAACAGAAGTCTGTTAAATCAAGAGTTTACTGAATTGGAGAGTGAAGAAGAACCACAATAGTTTTTGCATGCAACACTTCATTTAATTCTACTGTGTGAGTCTACCATCATCTCCACCTTTGCTTCAAACAAGAACAAATCCTGAAACCTTTAGCCCTTTTTCTTAGACCAAAGGATGGCCTTTTAGATTTTCGTTATTTTTCAAAGTTGGCTATGTCCAGACAACATGCATAACAGTGGTTAACCCCTTTTTCTCAGTTCGTATGGCACACTCAACCAGAAACTAAACATAAAACCTGGGTTTCCAAATACACTTGACTGAATTGTGGCTGGCTAATTTGTGAACACAGTCATGTCAACTAGGAACCCACTGAGTACTTTTTTTCTGCTCCATTAAGAAAGGCTGTGTGACTGGAAACACACAGGGTCATAGCTCCTACGTCTGGTTCTACACCTGAAGCATGAAGATTCCAATTGGTAACACCTTCAGGGCCACACCACCAGGTGGGGGCCCAGGGTCCTTCAACATCGATGGTCCCTAGATATACTTGTCAGTTGCCTATGTCTCTCTGCTCCATTTGTTCTGCTCTTTTTCTCCAGCAGTTCTGTTTAACAGACGGCAACTTTTCTGGCCTTTATATCCATAAGCCTGTTTGCACAACACTCTTAGCAGGATTATTGTGGGAGTGACATACGAACAGGAAAACTGGGTCAAATGTCCTTGCCAATTAACTTGGAAGGAATTAGATTTAGCCCCAAATTGACCCAATCCTGTTTGCCGTTAAATTAGCATGCCTGGTAAGCTGTATCATCTACATAGTTGACTAGAGAGTTAATTAATTCTGTGATTGGGAAAATGTCCTAAAGACGCCCTGTGAAAAATAGGACTTCTCTAGGCATTCCCTCTCTGTGGCTATTTCTGCTCTCTCTGTCTCTCTCACACACATGCCCCGTAGCCATATGGAGACTTGAGAAAGTGGGTTGGTTACGATCCTATCCATAATATCACTGCAGATTTTTTTTTTTTTTTTTAACTGTGTCAGCCCTCTACATTCTGGGGAGATGGGATCAAACTAGGAGGTAGGAAATGAGAGCCTCCAGCATCCTTTGTTAGAAGACTGTAAACTTGGCTGTGGATTGATTGATCAGGACATCTCTGATTGTGCACTGCTGGTGCGTGGAGTTGAGGTAGGAACCTGGGCGAACAGATGTTTCTGTCAGTTTAATGCAAACGGCCAAAGTGAATGGAAGAAACAACCATCTGGGCTCTAGCAAATTATAGCATTTTCAGGACCATGGAGAGCTCCATGCACGCAGCTACAAACTGAGTTGGCTGTTGCTAATATAAGAGCTGTTGTTGCAGCATCTCTTTGTAAACTATTAGAGATTTACAGCTGGCTAAGCAAAGACATTTTTAGCTCCACTCAGCCTGCTGCTGTTTCTAAACTTACAGAATCTCTGGCCCTTTCTGAAGTCTCCCAACTTTGCACAGCTAAGAAAATGCAGAGGCTACAGGAAGGTCATCTTCTGACTCTTAACTGTGGAAGGTTTCTTATGGAAGACCTGGCTAGCGCATGAGAACAGATGCTGATGGCTTTCTTTCAGTTTTGAGTGATTTCATCCTATTCGTGGACTTCTTCAAGGGCTTTGCTGAGTTCTTGACCCTGAAGCCATGACAGCAACCGAATAAGAACAAGTGGTAAAAAAAAGAGCAAGGGCATCTTGTCCATAGTCCCTTCAACTTTGGCAGCAACATAGTCAACGCTGCCCTCTTAGAGAGATCACAAAAGTGGTGCTCTCTAGGTGTTACTTGTCAATGATATTTTTTTAAGGAGAAGAAATAAAGACAGTTGAGATGAGACTCACCCAGCAATTTATTTTGAATGAACAGATGGTAATGAA